GCACAGCAAGAATCCCACCGTCAGAGTTTCTTGCACCAAGAAGTTCAACTGTGACCGCAGACCTCTCCCTGCGGACACAGTCTAAGAAGAAGACGTGTACCCCATGCGATGACCAGTTCCTGCACCACATCGAGGACCATGGGCTAACTTTAAGTTAGTTATAGGAAGCAAGAGAGGCTGTTAGGTTTAGATTTAGATTAGGTAGTTAGGTTAATTTAGATTAAGTCATATGATGATATATCTTAAGATACACAGAGTGTTAGACACTCTAGCGATGTTAGCACTAAGGATCCGTAGAGTAAGTAGCAGTAAGAAGTTTGTAAACTTAGCTGAAATAAATATGTTCCAACACAGCAGTTGAATCAGTCCTAGTCGGAAAGCACGGGAGATCACTTCGCCCACTGTCTCATCGCCTTTGAAAATGTCCACCGCAGTTTTGGACGAAACGTCAGGAAGAAATTCCGATAGACCACGGCTTCAAAGCCCGGAAAACATTCCTAAATGTAATTTAACCGGCCGTGAAAGCCTTCATATAACGTACGTTTGTTTGGTACATAATCTCATTTATAGCATTAACTATTTTTTGATTGAATATATTGAGAAAGTGCCAGGAAGTATACTTTTTTATTTTATTTTATATTTGGAAAACCACACTGGTGTGAAACCCCCAGGCCAATTTGCACTCAATAAATCGGAATATTTTACAAAACATATTTTGCATATATAACATGTAAGATATGATAACGTATTAAAACATATGATATGATATGTATCGTAAGAATTATCGCAAAGAAAATGTAAAGGAACAAATGGTCAGTTGGTTTTTTTCTCAGCTTTCATTGACTTCAATTGACCCGAATTCAAGAACGCCACTCATACGCTACTCATCTCAAATCCAACTCTCATTCATCTGCCACTCACGTTAGGGTGAGATGAGTGGTCCCTAACTAAAGTCAACTTTCGGTATTCAAAAACGACACTAATGAGTCACTCACTTGAGTGACAACTGGTTCAAAGAAAAACGAGAGGCTATACTGCCCGAACCGTACCGACGTTGCCATTATTTTGCTTCTGTCATCTGCTTATGTTTACAATAAACTGATTTTAGACGTTTTCGGTTTTGTATACGGAATGTGTATTTTCAAGTATTTACCAATAATCTTACAAAGAAAATTACAAAATATAGATTTTCACAAATTTGATGAGGCTACTGTGACTAAAATACACCATCATTTATCTTTAATAAATAATGTAGCTAATTGTAAAAAACATCCTAAATAAGTAAGGAGTTTGTTCCACAAAAAAAGTCTTCTAAAAGATATATTGATCCTCAGATTAGATTTACATCAACAAAAAAGGAACGCATTGAGAGGAAAACAAGCCTTAAAAGGGCATCCGCTAAAGAAATCTCAGCAATAACAAAAATGTGGACCTTGCGTTAGCAGTTCATCACGATCATCAATATTGTTAAGTAGAACTTAGTACATGTATTAAGTACGTGTCATATATTTTGTGATAATACATACTCATTTTATATTAGTTGTGTTACGTTTTTATTGTTAACATTTATTACCTTATGTAAT